CTCAGGGTTCTGTCCTCTCCCCCATGCTTTTCAACATCTACAGGCAGCCACTGGGAGAGATCATCAGGGGATTTGGGCTGGGTGTTCATCAGTATGCAGATGATACCCAGCTCTACATCTCTTTCAAATCAGAACCAGTGAAGGCGATAAAGGTCCTGTGTGAGTGCCTGGAGGCGGCTGGAGGATGGATGGCGGCTAATGGATTGAGGTTGAATCCTGACAAGACAGAAGTACTGTTTTTGGTGGACAGGGGGCGGGCTGGTGTGGATGACTCCCTGGTCCTGAATGGGGTAACTGTGCCCCTGAAGGGCCAGGTGTGCAGCCTGGGAGTCATTTTGGACTCACAGCTGTCCATGGAGGCACAGGTCAATTCTGTATCCAGGGCAGCTGTCTACCAACTCCACCTGGTACGCAGGCTGAGACCCTACCTGCCCGCGGACTGTCTCGCCAGAGTGGTGCCTGCTCTAGTTATCTCCCGCTTGGACTACTGCAATGCGCTCTGCGTGGGGCTACCTTTGAAGGTGACCCGGAAACTACAACTAATCCAGAATGCGGCAGCTAGACTGGTGACGGGGCGGCCGCCGAGACCACATAACACCGGTCTTGAAAGACCTACATTGGCTCCCAGTACGTTTCCGAGCACAATTCAAAGTGCTGGTGTTGACCTTTAAAGCCCTAAAAGGCCTCGGCCCAGTATACCTGAAGGAGCGTCTCCACCCCCATCGTTCTGCCCGGACGCTGAGGTCCAGTGCTGAGGGCCTTCTGGCGGTTCCCTCATTGCGAGAAGCAAAGCTACAGGGAACCAGGCAGAACGCCCTCCCATCAGATGTCAAAGTGATCAACAACTACCTGACATTCAGAAGACATCTTAAGGCAGCCCTGTTCAGGGAAGTTTTTAATGTGTGATATTTTAGTGTATTTTTGGTTTCTGTGGAAGCCGCCCAGAGTGGCTGGGGAAACCCAGCCAGATGGGCGGGGTACAAATTATTATTATTATTATTATTATTATTATTATTATTATATTATTATTATTATTATTATTATTATTATTATTATTATTATTATTAATTTTAGGCTGCTAATGATATCTCAACATTCACGATAGCCGCTAACTTAAGTGGTTTTAAAAAAGGCTTAGAACATTAATGGCAAGGGCCGAAGCTCAGTGTTAAGCACTACTGTGTATTCAGGTTCAGTCTCCAGCATCTCCAGGTAGGCTACTGAATGTCCCCTGCTTGAAACTCTGGAGAGCTGCTGCCAATCAGTGTAGACAATACTGAGCTAGATGGAGCAAAGGTCTAGCTCAGTATAAGGCAGCTTCCTATATTCCTAGTCATGATAGCTATATGGAACTGCTAGGATCAGAAACTGTCACTTTATATCAGTTGCTGGGCAGCAACAGCAGAAAAGTGATATGGCCTTCAAGGGCTGCTGATGAGTTTTCCAGAGGAATCTTCTGGCCCATTTGGGAAGTGGACTGTTTGCATCTTTTGACTGATCCAGCAAGGCTCTTTGTAGAGCTTGCTTCCAATTAAGTATTTTGGAATGAAATTCTGAACCACTTGTCAAACCAATTCCAAAGTGGGCCAGACTGAAACAGTATAACCTGCTCAGATCTCCAGTTGTCATGTTTTGACCTAACACATCCAAAAGATGCCTAGTATAAAATGGGAAGTGAAATTGTTCCACAGAGCTTAAGATCTATTTTGATGCAGCACATTGATTCAAAACCTTTCATAAGGGTACCCCACAAAAAGATTTTCTTCTTCAAGATGTGTCACTCTTACAGCTGTGTTCCATTGTCCTCACAGTTAGTAGCTGCCAACTCATTGCTGTTTGGAGGAATAGTAACTAGGAAGGGGTCCTAGACTGGGAGCAAATAACCAATAAGAATATGTGACCTGCTGGTCATGCATAGGAAAGGTGGGCTGGGGGCAGGAATCAGTAACCTCTGTTTGGGGGGGGGAATGTTATAAGGTGCATGCAGAAAAGCAGGAAACACCTAATGGGTCCTTCCCGCTCATCTTGATAAGAAGCAAGAACTGTCCAAATGCTCTCTTCAAATCCAGTGAAGACCACCACTGTTACTCAAGCTCCCATTGCCTTCAACAGCTGGTGGATGAAAATATTCACATTAATTTTACAGTGAGTGCACAAAGATCAAACTAAGATAGTGAGAATGAGCAAGCTGCTTCTGTATTTTAATTGGCAGAGCCAAAGAAATAATTTTTAGAATATTCAGTTTAAAGTATGCATATCCTTGTAAACAAGAAACCACATCTTCCCAATGCCAGAAATGTAAGCATTTATTTAGCAGCTGCTTACTATCTCTCCCCCACCCCGCATTTTTTGGAAGATGGACATTCATAACCCTTACAATGAACAATGAATGATATTCTGCAGAGCAGTAAGATATCAGATAACTGGAAGGAGGCCAACATTACTCTTATACCTAAAGAGGGCCAATATTTTACCTTAGTAAAAAAATGCCATCTGATCTCATTATTGAATAACTATAAGGTATTTACAATGGTTTTGTCAGAAAGATTTAAAAAAATTCTACAGTACTTTCTTCATTATGGCCACAGTGGATTGTTACCTAAAAAAAAGTTAAGTGACAATGTCTGAAATGTGTTAAATATCTCGGAATATTTGAACTGTGACAACGAGAAGCGTGCTGCACTGATTTCTCTTGATGCAGAAAAAAGGTTTTGACAAATATGAACTGGGTATTTTTCTTGAGAGTTTCACAAGAAATGAATTTTGGATATAATACTTTTAAAAGGATAAAGTCACCACAGACAGCTCATATAATTGTTAATGGAGAACTAACAAAACCCTGTGGGATACAGAAGGGGACCAGGCAAGGGTATCCATTGTCCCCATTGCTTTTCATCTTGGCTCTGGAAGTTTGGCTTAGAGAATTAAGAGGATAAAGATAAAAGAGGAAGATTATAGGTTACAGGCATTCGCTGATGATCTCATCAGGGAATGGTGCCCACCTAGGCTCCTCCGCCAATTGTGCACCACTAGGACTGGTAGAATCTAAATTTTTGAGATCAGCCCTACAAGTGCCTAAACACGTCTCCAGTGCTACCTTGAAACTGGATTCACAAGAATTGAGGCCAGAGTGTGGCTTGCCACACTTAATTACTGGCTGAGACTATCCTCCTTCCCACATGGCCTTGCTCCCCTAACTATTAAGGTTGATTTCCAAACAACATGGCAACAGGCAGTGATAAACATAACAACTCTAGGCCTCACCCCACAGATTCTACTCGACATGGGGTATGAACAAGCTAAAAAAATAATTAAACAGTGTGTGGAAGAGACAGAACGCCAAGCAGATCTAGCCAGGTCCCTGAAAATCCTAATTAGTGAAACCAGGAGATACCTCATCTCCCAAATGCCATATATTCCAAAACAGTGAAGGGCTTTCACTATGGCCCATTGCCAGGTCCTCCCTTCAGCTATCCAGAAGGCCATTTTAGGAAGACACCGTAGAAGGAGAGGAAATGCCCGTGTGGCTCTGGGCAATGGGAAACAACGGAACATGCACATTTCACTGCCAATACTGTACAGACACACAAGCTAAGTTCATCCTGCCTATACTACACAAATTCCCAGCACGTACAGAACAACTCTGTATCTCCCTACTACTCCAAGGTGTCACATTCTCAGTTGCTAGATTTTGCAGTGCCATGATGGGCATCTGTTGAAGAATGGTTTGTGGCACAAACCATGCCTAAACTGAAGACCCATAATGCAAGACCTGTGCTGCTTCATGTTTCCTCCCTTACAGTCGCTTTTAACTGCTTGTCTTTTGTTTCTGTTTGTTTTAAGTTTATGCGAGTTATAATCACTTTTAACTATTAGCTTTTATCCCTTTCTTCTTTAAGTCTTATGTGCTTTATTTTATTCACATGTTTTTATCTTATGCTGGTCTGCGACCGTAATAAAGTTTGATGATGATTTCATGATATTCATTTACAGGGGGTGGAGACCCTTACGAATAAATTAAATGAATTTGGCATGCTAGCAGGTTTTAAGGGTAATTATCAGAAGATGAAAATGACATTTTCAAAATGACAACAGAAGATCAAAAGCCCTTAACAGAGAAAACTGGATTTCAAACTGAAAAGAAAGTAGAGTATTTAGGTATCTCCATGACAAATATGAATTGTATGTTGTTTCAAAAGTAAGGTTGCCAGAAAACCTAACTTTTGAACAACACACTTTATTCCTTTCCACAATGTGTTAATCCTATAGAACACAGTGTGTGTTTCACATTTTTATTTATTGTTTCCATGCACATAATGGACAATGGTTGCCAATACCTTTGTCTGAGGAGGTGCCTATGTCTTTAACACCTGCAGGGGCAGAAGAAGCTGCTCAATCTTAGGGGAAGGAAATGCTTTTGCAAGCAAAGGGTACCTGGCTCATCTCATTTTCAGTGGGGACTGAAAAAGATTCCTGCCTGAAAAGGTGCAGAGCTGCTGCTAGACCATGTAGACATGTTAGATGGAACGATGGTCTGACTCAGTATAAGGCAATTTCCTATGCTCCTAATGCCAGATAAGCATATTGAAATTTACGGCAATGTGACTGCAAGGCCATATTGCACCATACGTTAATCTTGCTACAAATATAGGAGTTGGGTCTTGTGTTTTTTTAAATCAATTATTTCTTCCAAATATTTCAAACAGGCGTAAAACAGTCAGCCAGTATAACTCAGGTCCATGACTTAAGCTTCCAAGGATCAAGCTTGCTAAGAAAAATGTTTTATCAGATGAATTTCTGCCTAATGGGTATCCAAGGCTAAAGGCAGTGACAGCTGTTCTTAGGAAAAGAAAAGCTGCCAACGCTATGAAGCTTTTTAACACCAGTGCGGTATAGTGGCTAGAGTGTCAGACCATACCAGGGTTCTAGTCCCCATTTAGCCATGAAGCTCACTGGGATTTTAAAGTTAATTTCCGCATTGCACAGGGTTGGACTAGATGATCCACTGTGCTGCCATAGGTCAGTGTGTCTGGCTGTTAACCAGAAGGTTGGTGGTTCGAGGCCACCCAGGGATGCCTGTGGACGGGCATACCCTCCAACATTCCTCATATGAAAATGTCCCTGTTTTCATCTGAGGAATGTTGGAGAGTATGCTACTTTAAACAGTCATGGCTTCTCTCAAAAAAATTATGGGAGCTACAGTTTGTCAAGGGTGCTAAGAGCTGAGAGGAGATCCCTAATTCCCTCACAGAGCAATGGTTCCCAGAGTGGTTTAAACTGTCACAGGAAACTCTGGAAATTGCAGCTCTGTGAGGGGAATAGGAGGCCTCTGCACAGCTCTCAGCAGCCTTAACAAAATGCAGCTCAGTTCACTTAAATTAGTTTGATACTGCTTTAAATGAACTGTGGGAATGTACCTGAGTCATTTATGTGGAACACATTACAGGATGGTAGCTCTGTGAACTCCACAAAAGTATTCTTCAAAGCTTCCACATGACACTTTATCTTGCTTTAATGTGAACTGTGATTGTGCTGGTTGCCTGCCTATGTGAAGGACAGTGAGGCGATGTACGGTATGTCTGTGTGAGAGAGAAAGTTGCACCTGTAGCTCTTATCACTTGAGCCTATTGCTCGCTCCCCAGAATTGTTCATATTATCCCTGTTTAATGGCTCAAACAAGGATTTACATTCTAAGGAACTTTTGACATTCTTTACTGATTGCTTCTATGCGAACAGTAGTATAGCATTGCAAACTTTAATACAATCTATTCCTTGCAAGCATGCTGTAAGAACAATTGGAACACTGCAATTTTAGAAAAGATTACCCATATCCTAGGTTTGCTGCAGGGTAAATAGCAGTCATAATATTTTAGTATGTTATGGTGGGAGATGGGGATGATGATGATTAATTGAATTTGTTAATTGCTTTCTTTTTCCCAGGGAAAACCAAAGTGACGTAAAGCCAAACAGACAGACAGACAATCCCCCACCATAGATACATTAAAACCAAAAAGAAAAAGAAATACATAAAAAACACCCACTTCTAAAAGGTTAAAGACCAAAGGCCTAGTTACAGAGGAAAGTGTTTGCCTGATACCCAAATATATGTAATGAAGGCACCAGGCAAGCAGCCTTGGGAAGAGCACTCCACAAATGGGCAGCTGCTGCAGAAGGCCCGTTCTCATGTTGCCACCCTTCAGACCTCTTGTGGAGGAGGCACACGAAGAAGGATGATTGCGGGGTCCAGGTAAGTACATACTGTATGTGGAAAGGCAGTCCTTGAGGTATTGCAGTCCTGAGCCATGTGGGGCTTTATAGGTCAAAACCAGCACTTTGAACTAGGCCTGGAAATTAATTGGCAGCCAATGAAGTCAGATCAGGATTTGAGTTATATGCTCAAACTGTCTTACATTAATAGGCAACCTGGCCACTGAATTCTGCACCAGATGAAGTTTCCAAACTGTCTTCAGAGGCAGCCCATGTCTAATGCATTTGCAGACAGGAACATTTGTTGAAAATTGGTAATTTGATCTGCATAGTTTTCTCCCTGTCTTCTGTCAAGGTCCAGCTTTTATTCCTGTACCTTGTACTTATTTTTGCCTCTCTTTGATGTGTGGTTCTCTTATACATGGTGCTAATGTTCCTGCTCCCCTGTTTTGTTCCAGGGGAGGATCAGTGCTTTATGTTGACTTTACTGTATATCTCTTATTTGTTCTCTATACAACTGAAAATCCAAGAAAAGCTATTTGTGCCTTTGGCTTCTGGGTATAGCCCCATGGGAGCTGCACCCCCTGGAAAGGCAGCGCCACTCCTCATGCTAGGAAAAAGTCCTGCAACCCCCTTTTCACCTTATTTACTTCCATGTTGCCCAATTTTGTCATCTTTTCTGATGAATAGCACTATATACATAAATAAGATAAAATGAGGCATTTTAAAACTATTAAAAGTGCCAAAATATGCAAACAGGAAGAAAATACCAACAGCAGACAGTTTAAATTAAAAGTGGGTTTGTCTTTAATGAAACCTGGAGGAAGAAGGCTGCATCCAAACAGCTGGTTGTCTCTTGGAAGGCCTGTGGCAGAAGGCATGCAGTTAATGGGAGTTCAGGGCACAGCAAAGGCTTGTGCTTTTCATTTTGGTGGGAAACCAGGCATTCTTTCTGTGGCTACAAAAGAAAACCAAGCCTTCATGCTGTGATTAGTGCAAATGTCAGTCCTTCAAGACTCTGTTTATGAAGGCAAGCCAATTGCGTTTGAAAAGAACATGCCCTTCTTGGGAACTAATTGATAAGATATTCTACCAACATATGGAGCTTAACAGTGTTTATAGGGATGACAAAGTTGTCAAAACCTGGTTAATATGAAACCACAAGTAGATTTGCAGGGTGGGGGGGGGGGGGGAGCACAGGAAAAGCAGTATTGGTGGTCAAAAGCCTCCAACATGCTAACTTTTGTTCCAGGGAGACATGGCCCTAGGAATATAAGTTTTGAACAGGCTCAAGCCTTTTACAGGCCCAGGTCCTTGCAGATCCCAGACCCATATATACTGCTTCCACAGTGACAAACTCACTTAGTGAAGGGGGGAGCGGGATGTGATCGAGAAAGGTGTTTTTTAACCTTGGCGACTTCCTGCCTATGATACCTGAGACGCCAAGGATTTTTCATGTGTCATAGAGTATAATGAGCTCTGCAGCAAGGACATTTGACTTAGGGGTTCCTATGACAACTTATTCCCTGTACTAGGGATAGATTAAAGATGAAGGTTAGTGGAAAGGCTGATGTGTTTTTAAAGCAATGGAGGATAAAGCTTGGAGGTTTCAATGTTAAAGGCACAATACTTCAATGCCTTCTACATGCACTGCATCAGGAAGATTTTGGGCATCACATGGCAGGACAGAGTCTCAAGCAAAGATGTGCCCTCCCCAGCCCACATTGCCAGCATGTTCACACTCCTGCCTCAGCAATGTCTATGGTCATGTCCACAGAATGGAAGATGGCAGGATCCCTAAGGATATGCTCTACAACAGGGGTCAGCAACCTTTGCAGCCGTGGGCCGGTCCACCGTCCCTCAGACCACTTGGTGGGCCGGACTATATTTTGGGGAGAAAAGGAATGAATTCCTATGACCCACAAATAACCCAGAGATGCATTTTAAATAAAAGCACACATTCTACTTTTTTAAAAACACGCTGATTCCCAGACCATCTGTGGGCTGGATTTAGAAGACAATTGGGCCGCATCTGGCCCCTGGGTCTTAGGTTGCCTACCCCTGCTCTACAGGGAGCTGGCTTCAGGTACCAGGCCCATAGGCAGACCAACTCTGCATTACAAAGATGTCTGCAAATGTGACATGAAGGCTGGGAACAGTGCCTAGAGACAGGCAGTCAGGTCCTGTATCCACAGCATTGACTGGAGGAGGAATGACCACTGGGAGGAGCAGAGAGTGAAAAAAGGCCATGGTGCATCTGCAGCAGCACAACTGGATGCCTTCATCTGATCCAGCTGCAACAAAACATCTCTTCCATATCGGTCTCTACAGTCACAGTAGGTGCTGAAAGTTTCTAATGTTTTGACTTCACCCCAAAGGTACACTCCTCCATTGTCTCCCAAGAGAGACGTATGCCAACAACATTCAGTTTATTTTGTCAATTATGCTGCTTCAAGTTTAAACGTGAACTTTACCTATAATTCCCCTCAATAGAACTCCTTCTATTGAACCTGTTTCTTCATTGTATGGCTGCCCACTCTGCCTGTGAAATACCTCTAGCCCCTTTCTAGGTCCTTTTCCTCCACCTAAGGAAATTAAATCAGTATATCCTGCCTGACAATCTCCTAAGCACCATTAGCTACTTCCCTGGCCAGGCCTTATCTGCCACTTAAAACGCCAAATTCTCCTTTTACCATCATCACTTTTTCCTTATTAGCCATTTCTCCTCCCTGCCATGATGCACTAAGGGTCACCAGGAGGATGACCCAATGGTCTGTCCATCACACTTTCCTTTTCTGCTGCTGATGTAGTGGCACTGCCAAGGACATTGAGGGCTACTTAAAACATTTGGGACACATCCCCATTAGACATCCTGGCATATGCTTATTAACATCGTTACAAGGGTCACACCTGCTACCTCAATCTCTAGCAAGCAGTAGGAAGATTCCAAAGGGTTCCAGGCACAGGAGCCAACTCCTAGGGACCGTGGGGGCTTTGTCCCCCATAATAAAATATTTGAGGGGGCCGGGCCTCCCCCAGGGTTGATGGGCATTACCATTCAAATGGTGTGTGTGCACTGGGCCCCCACAATATTTTCTTCAAGTTGGCATCCCAGGTGCTTACCCAAGGCCCTATTTCTGTTGGAAATCAAGACCTTTGTGTCTTTGAGAAAATGGTTTGTTAACACATAATCGCTACCTGGATTATGGGGGGAGTGCAGAGTTGACAACACTCACATCTGAAGAGGGGCTTGTCCTTCACAGCAGCTCAGCATTGCATTCAGAAGTTGCTGCCGCTGCTGCTGCTGCGGAGAACACCCCTGTGTGAGTGCCTAAGGGCCCCGTTCCTGCCACTCACCACCTGGCCCAGGGCGGGGCCTGACAGGCCTCATAAGGACGGTTGCCACCGCTGCTGCTGCTGCCCAGGAGGACTCCCCTGCTTGAGTGCCTGAGGGCCCCGTTCCTGCGACTCACCACTCAGAACAGCGCAGAGTTCTTTTTAAAATGTTTTTAAAATTTCTTTTTTCCCTTTTAAAAAATTTTTTGGTGTGGGGGGTGGGATGGATGTTTAGTTGGGTTTGGGAATTTGTTTAATTTTGGTATGTTTGTAATTTTTACTGTTTTTGGTTTGTATGGTTTTATTGTGTTTTGGGGGGTTTTTTTGTTTTTATATAGGCTTTATTTTGTTCTTAAGGGGAAGGTTCAGGGCTGCCTGGGAGTGAGTTCCAGCCAACAAAATGGCTGGGGCAGGTTCCACAGAGGGGGATGCACTGGGACCACCGATCTCAGTGATCACGGGTAGGAGGAGGAGTTACGCTAAGACCAACCCATGTCATTACTGAGGAGGCAGGTTTAGTCATTATTTGAGG